GGTGCACCTTACCTCTTTACCTACGGATGCATCCATATGCAAACTGCCCCCATGAAAAAAATGCATAGAATACATAGAAAACGAAAGGTTATTTACCTAGTAGAACACTGAAAGATCTAAAAAAACAAACAAAAAGAACTCAATTCCACATAATCTAAAAAAAAACACTCAACTCCACATAGAAACTAAATAGAACGTGATGGAAAAGACTGAAAATGAAAGAAAAAACAATGAAAAAATGCATAAAAAAAAAATGAGTACTTACCTTAAAAATGCCATTACAATGAACATCTAGAGTTATGGAGAAGAGAAGAGGAGGAGAATGTGTGTTTTGTGATAGAGGGGGTGGTGTGAGAAACAGGGGAGAGATTTAGTAGGAGAAAGAAAATAGGAAAAAAAATTTAAGAAAATTGATTTATTAGAAGAGAGAGAGGAAGGGAGAGAATGGGATGAGAGAGAAGCGAGATGGACATGAGATGGCATGCATGGCATGAGAGAGAGGTGGGGAGACAGAGAAAAGAGAGTTATTAATATGGTGTGACGCATGGCAAAAGAATAATATTGTTCTCGCTTAATATATAATATATAATTGAAAGTTACATTTGTTATACCATCTCAAACAACACTATTGGAAGACATAATTTGGCCTCTCAATATCTCTATAAACTTATGTCTCCTCCCTTTAATCGAACATCAGTTCAAATTTCAAATGGGACGTCTTTTCTTTTCTTTTTTTTGAGAGAAAACAAAATGGGACTTCTTGCAACCTCACCTACAATGATACACGGTGATGATATAATGTCATGGCATGCAGATGCCTCAATCAACACCATTGCCAACACTAGCTCTAAACTCTCTGTTTGCCTGGGTATCAGCCAATAAAATAAACCCAATTTGCAAGGAAAGGCCCTCCAAAGTCGAACATTGCAAAAGGCCCTCTCCTCTTTTCCAAAATAATTGTCTTGTAAAGATTTATTATGTGAGTTACTTAGGAGTGGTGAAGCATTCCTCAGAAATGATCCCCCACAACACTATCATCGTCAGATTCGCCTTCCATGTCACTACTCCCTGGGGGGTCAAGCTGAACACACTCAGCCACCAAACCCTGAGGACTGCATAAGGGCTCAGAGTCACTGCTTTTGCTAGTTGTAGAAGCAGACAGGTCTTCCTTCTTGACAACACTGAAGACAATTCCATTATGAATCCTTTCAGGTTGCAAAAGGTCCCCTTCTGAAACCATAATGCTTGATGTGGTAGATGAAGGAACTACCCTAATCCCCACTTCACATTCGAGGCTCTCTAAATTTCTATCTGAAGAGTGTTTACATTGGTTGCAATAGCCATCCTTAGTACATGACCCCAAGGGGTTTTCCATTGAAGCTTCAATCTCATTCGTATTGTTTACATGTTGCAGGACTTCATCCTTTGGCCATGCTTTGTTCACCTCTCCATCAATATCTAAACTTTGAACATAACTGACAAACTTATTTGCAGAGGCCGTTCTCATTAGAGGTCCACCTGACCTGGTCCAAGAGTTAAGGTCAGTGCTCTCAGTCTCACTATCACTACCATCATGGAGATTACGATTAGGCCTGAAGGGGCGGCCAATATGGCCTCCCATGTGTGACCCATGCTGAAATGTAGCATCGGTATGGGCATCATCATCAAGAGAGCCTGAAGAGTTTTCTCTGGCTATGCAATTCCATGATGGGATCCTTCGAGAAGCACTGAACCTCATCGAGCTTCCAACCCCTTGTGAGGCAGCAGCAGCCCTCTCAGCACTCTTCTTGAGCCTGCGCATGTGGTTTAGATATGTCACACACTCGTCGAGCACTAGCTCAATACCACAATTGGCTTTGATAGCAGAGAGCTTCTCCCAAGTGCACCTCCTCCCCTGGTTGGCGGCCTTTTGCAGCTCCAATTGAGATGGGTTCTGTATAATCTTCAAATACTGAAAAGAAGCGGGATGACAAAGTTGAATTAACACAAGGGAATTTTGTAGTTAGAAGATTGCTGATATAAACAATCAAAACACACATGGAAATAGAAAAACTGCAGAAGTATACAGCAAGCAGACTGGTGAACAAAACAACAGTGACTGATGAGAACAGTAAAATGGAGCAGAAATACAGCAAGGTCTACATGAACAAAAGAATGCACCACAAACAGAATGACATATTGTTTGATACCTGAGCAAGTGTGGCAGGCATGACAATGGTAACATCACCCTCCCAATCTTGAGCAAAGAGCTTGGCTAGCCCACCCAATCGAAAACCAAACTCCAAAATCTGATTGCACCTGTGCTTCACCTCCATTTCCGCCAGATGAGCAAGCTAGAAAGAGACCAAAATCGCCAGTCAGCAATACAGAACAAACAAGTCCCAATCCAACCACTGATCAGGTATCATGCTGTTTAAACAAAACCCATACATTCCTTTGAAGTGAAGTAGCAAAGGTCATGCACCCATAAAGGAGCAAAACCCAGCCAACAATGTACTAATAACAACACAAAGCGCAAGGGTTGAGTCAGTTTTTTAGGTCTCGGGGACAACCTTCACGGGTAAAAACCTTGAGTTCCCTCACACAAACCAGGTGTCCTACCATTGCACAAAGCCCAAATGACAAATTGAAAGATTGCCAGAGACCAACCAACCAGTAAGGAAACACAAATAAGGACCAAAATTCCACTAAAGACAAATCAGAGAGCAATACCATAAAAAAAATTTAAAACAGGGCCCAACTGCGAGCAAGTGAACAAAAAACAGAGACGAACCCACCAACGAATAAACAAATAAGGAGACAACCTGCCAATGAAGAAGAAAAATAAGGGATAAAACTTCCAGTAAAGTGTATAGAAACATAAACCAGAGACCAATAATTTAAAGAAAACCAAAACCAAGAGAACCCATTTACTAGAAAGTAAACAGAATCTAGAGAACCCATCCACTGTTGAACAAAACAAAACTAGAGACGACGCTAAAAACAAGTGAAGCAAACAAATAAGAAGGGTGATCAATCTACCTTTGCTGCAAAATCACCCCCATAAGCCCTTACAAGCTCCTTGAGCCTCAGTAGTGGAGCAATGTGGGGGTTTGCCTGGCTCACAATGAAGTGATTGACATTGAAGAGCTCCTTTAGCTGAACCATGGGCAAGTCACTCTCCAAGCTCCCATCCCTCCACCTACGTGAACCCGCCATGGACCCTGTTGAATCCTCTGGCCCTGCCTGAAATAATGTATGATATGGCACAAGCTCCCCACTCCTATCTTTTGCCATAAGCTCCTGGGCCTCAAACAAGCCCGGAAATGCACACGAAGCTGTAACCGCACTCCATATCACAACATGAGGAGACGTCAAATAATTGAGGCACCTAGGTGGCTCGTGCCTTCTCAGGGAGCAAACCGTGATTCCAAGCACCCGACCAGTCGCATCATAAGCCTCTTGAAAAGTAAGGTTTCCGGTAAGGTGGCGTAAAATCCTTTGCAATTGTCTAATCTCATGCACCGCCCCTTGGGTTGCTACCCTTCGAACCACAGCAAAGACACCACCAAGTTGCTCAAAGAATTGCAAAGAATGGAGGGAGTCCTCGAAGAAGGCTTGGAGTTCGGGCCACGAGCGAGTGGCCACGACTGCACACATGATGGAGCCAACGCTCGAGCCAGCAATGATGCGTGGGAGAAGTCGGTTCTCAACGAGGGTGCGAACTACACCAACATGGAAGGAGCCGAGGGAAGCACCGCCGCTGAGGAGGAGGGCGGTGCGACCGAATGCATGGCGCGTCTCATGCATGAAGGAGAGCTTCTCCTCAAGGAGGAGCTCATCAGAGTCGGAGTCACACACCATGCGGAGCTGGGTAGAGACCTCATCGATGTAGTCTTTGATAAGGCGGGGCACCTGAAGGAGGTTAGGAAATGGTGTTAGGCCACTATAATGGTCAATGGGCATTCCTGTTATACTACAACCATGATAATGGACCCATTATAACATTTTCTTAAAGTGAAAGCATACTATGATCTATGTGATCATGAAAACAATATGTATGAAAACAATATGTTCATAAGGGTCATTACGGTCCCATCAACATGTTAGATGGAAATGGAGGGCAAGTTTGTCGAGCCAGCCATGTCAATAATTCGAGTCTGTGTCCTGCTCTCCCACTAGTGCCGCTCAATCTATTGATGAGATGGCGATGACCACTGCGACGATTTGGGTACATTGTATACTTCCCCCTTTTCTACGACCACGGTAGAGATAAAACCATGTCATCCATTGTCACAGTCTAAGGAGTGTTCAGTTAGAGTGGACACTGCCATTATAACACCCAAGGCATAATACAGTTACAGCAGAGCCTTTCATAATTTATAATTATATACTTGGTAACCTCTGATAGTCTATAAACTAGCAGAAACAATCATCATTTCCATGTATACATTTTACAATCTCTGACTTCTAATAACATCTAGAACACCTTAAAAATAGAATATTTTGTGCAGGTAGATATTATTCAACAAAATCCTATATACAATGAACTTTTAAAAAAACAGAATCCCCTTCATACAAGAATTTGCCGTGTATTGAATATAGGATGCTTAAAAATTCAAATCAGAGGAGAAACTAAAAGGCAAAAACATTTATGTATTTTCAGGTGAGTAAAAAGCTGAACCATGAAAAACAATGGAATTTTTTGTTCTGGTGAATTTTTGACACAATTCAACTGATATTAGATTTTAGGGAACAATAGTTGAACTATGAAAATCAATCACATCTATCTTTATTCGTTCTGGAGGATCTCTACCACAATTAAGATGCCTCTATAACGGCAGCATACTAGATGTGTTCGAACTGTAATATCTTACAGTCCATACTTTTCTATCACAATTCAGAAACAAACAATTAAATCAGCACAAAACAGGCAAACAAATAATTAGAGATGTTCTACTATAGGCAATAAAAGCTATTAAAAGAATGAATATGTTACCTGTAGCCTGCCCTTGTGCAATTGGGGGTTACACATGTTTCCGAGGTTCCTCACCAAGTCCGCCCTCATACAAAACATAATATCCCTCAGCGAGCCGTCCCTTCTCCTCTGCTTGAGCTCCCTCAGCTTATTCCTCACCAACTCCACGTCATACAAACACTCCTCACTCATCTTCGGCGTGTCCCTGTCCAACATCTTGGCTGCGTGTGACCACTCATCATACGTCAGGGCACTCCGCATCATATTCCTCCAAAATTTCCGTCTGTATGCTGCCTCAGCCCGGGACCTTACATCAGCATAGCGACGCAGAGCAAGGGCAAGAATAGTTATGATTGCGAGGATGCCCTGGGGGTTGCGGGGGTGGAGCCACGAGAGGGCACAGGCAATTGGGGAGTGGGTCAGGAAGGGGGTCCACGAGATGAGGAAATGATGAAGCCGGGAGCGGAGGTGAGAAATGGAAGAGCAGAGAAGGATGCGGAGGGCGAGAGTGCGGCCTAGGAGGGTCAAGGGCCCAATCGAGAATGAGTCCACCTTCGCCTCATTGCTGATGTCCATCTTAGAATGAGCCGAGAAAGAGAGAGAGAGAGAGCGGCAGGGCGGAGGGAGAAGGGACTTTGTATCGTGTTTTAGAGAGGGTACGTGAGGTGGGTCTGATCCCAGAACGTCAGGCTTGGTAGCTGAAATCCATCAGCAGGTCGAGAGAGAAAACCCTAGAGAGAAAGAAGGGCTTGGACTAGAGATAGAAAGCACTGGAAATGACTGTATTTTGGTTTTTGAAGGATGAAATACGCTGGGATTCTCTAAATTCCAGAACTCCCCTAAAAAGGCCTTTTTTTTTGCCTCTCCGAGGGATTTGGGTAATCTGGTTTTGATCCAAGAACCTCAACCCTCCAGTGACAGGCCAAGGGCGAGGAAAACCTATAGAGAAAGCCTGGAAATCCTACAGAGAGAAAACCTTTCTTTTACTGATTGGGATTTGGGTTAGCTGAATTATCAGCAACCTAGAGGTTCCAACAACATACGCCACTAGAAAAGGGCTTGGACCAAAACCCCTCTTTGTTTTGTCTTCATTATAAGAGAGAAAACACAGTCGTCAGAAGAGATTATGGGATTTGGAAGAAGACGCAGGGGAGTTCTTGCGATGAGAGAGAAAGGGAGCTGCAAGGTATTGGAGTGATGAAAAAGAAAGAGAAACATGGAAGGAGCGTGGACTAATCAATGGATAGAAGATAGAAGAACCTTATAGGTGTTGCAGGGAATCACATGGACAAAGGAGGGCTGACTCAGATCATATCACCATTAAACTTCCAGAAGATAAGGGATCAGAAGCCTCTGCACTAGCGTCACCCATGGCCCCACTATGACTTAAAATAGCAACCCATTACACGACGGCAGCTGCAAATTCTCAAACAAACCGAAGAGAGAGAAAGAGACCCAACTTCGTTCTCTATCTACTCTGCAGTTCAAAATTCACGCACTCCAAGAGTACAAAAACCCAATTTGTTCTTAAACCCCGTGAAAAGGTTTCTTACGAAGAAATGCTCGTTCACTGCAATTTCTCTCTCTACAAAACCACTTCTCCCTTCAAATACAAGGCAACACCACTTCTCTCTCTTCAAAACCTAGAGAGAGTGGGAGATTAAAGAGGAGAGAGAAAGTGGGCGATTAAATAGGAGAGAGAAAGTGCGAGATTCAAAACTCTGATGCACGGAATGGGTACTCCTTCTATACGTCACGATGACGTGGACAACGACAACAAGGAAAGAGGCGAAGGCCAAGCCCTATATTTTTGGGATGAAGTTAAGGCCTATGTTTTATAAAAACCAAATAAAGGCTCATCTCAAATCCTTGTCTAAAAAGCATTTCGGCAACGAAGTCTTGGTGAGAGTTTTAAAATCAATTTTCAATACAGACAATAAAAATTGAAGTTAAAAAAAACATGTATAAATTTGTAGATCCTTGAATCTTGTTTTTAGGGCAAAATAGACAGTTTAGATAATTTGTTAAAATATATATTATTATTTAGAGTTTGAAATTTTCTTTTCTTTCACAAAAGCATATTCAAGTTGAGATGATGGATGTAAAAATTTTATAATGGTTGAATTATAATTTTCAATGAGATATTGGGTGAGGTTTTACTTCTTTTGATATGGTTACTTCCCTATCAAACCATTGTCCAAATTGTTGTTCCCGAGGTTTGAAAAATCGTCGAGTTGAGCCGGACACGCCCGGTTAGACTCGGGAATCGTCTAATACCGAGCCGTTTCCACAAATAAATCGGAAATCGCCCGTGTCCAGAGAGAACCGGGAGATTCCCAATAGTGAATCGCTATTCAGACCGAGTCACACGCAAGAACATGGGCTGCACAGTATTCTTTACGGGATTTCATTTCTTTTGTCATTTTGTTATCGATTTTCACATTTTTCATCCTTATGAACGAATCTTGTAAGCTTTAATTCAAATTTCTCATCCATTTAAGTCAATAAAAAGAATTAACAAGCAACATTTTTTATCAAAAAAAATTGGATCGAAGAGTGAGTTTTAGGGTTTCAGCCATTTCACTGATTTCAAGCGAAAGAATGCATCATTTTTTGTAAACTTTCAGGGTGATTGATTGTAAGAGTGTTGTTCAGAAGGTTTTGTTCATAATTTGTGATTATTTCATATCAATTTTGAGTTTGAAGGCACTGTTGCACGAAAAACAGGTACGAACTGTGTTTTTTTTTTTTTCCACCATGCGATCAAATTCAGCCAATATTTTAAAAAATCATGTATTAAATTTATAGGATTTTGATTTGTTCTAATGTTGTTTATCATCACATGTATTATAATTTGATTATATTTATTCAATTTGAGTTGGATTTTTTAGAAAAAAAGACTGATGTCTGTGAAAAAAAAATGGACTGAGTTTTTTTTTTTTTCCGCCATTCTCTCAATTTCAGTAAATATTTTACAAATAATGTGTTGAATTTATAGGGTTTTGATTCGTTATAGTGTTGTTTACTATCACATGTATTCAATTTTATCTGATTTATTTAATTTGAGCTTGATTTTTTAGATTGAATGAGTGATGTATGTGAAGAACTGCGTTTTTTTTTTTCCCCTCAATTCAATTGATTTTATTTAATATTTTGAGAATAATGTGTTAATATTATAAGGCTTTGATTCATTATAATGTTGTTTATCAAAACATGTATTCAATATGATGCGATTTATTCGATTTGAGGCGGATTTTTAAGTTGGAATGAATGATGTTAGGTTGGTCTGTGAAGAACTGCGGTTTTTTTTTTTATTATTCATGATCAATATTTTTGAAAAATCGTGAATTTTCCAAAAATTGTTTTTGATTATCATGAAGAATTAAACAATATTTTTAATTTTTATTGTTAAATTTCTAGTTCAAAAAATTGTATGTTGATAGATTATTTATGCAAAAAAATACATGTTATTATATTTTTAATGCAAAACTGTATTTTTTACTTTGTTGTTAATGCAAAAAATTACATTAACAAATACATGTTGTTAAACTGTGTTATATTTTTAATGCAGTTTTGCATTAAAAATCTATTTTTAATTTTTAAAATTTTTAATGCAAAAAATACATGTTGTTAAACGGTATTATCATGAGGAATTAAAGTGAATATCATTGTAAAAAAATCGTGGCATGTTATTATATTGTTAATACGAAACTGTATTTTTTTTAATTTGTTGTTAATGCAAAAAAATACATTAACAAATACATGTTGTTAAACTGTATTATATTTTTAATGCAGTTTTGAATTAAATTTTTTTAAAAATTTTTAAAATTTTTAATACAAAAAATACATGTTGTTATGAGAAATTAAAGTGAATATCATGGTAAAAAAATCGTGGCATGTTATTATATTTTTAATGCAAAACTGTATTTTTTAATTTGTTGTTAATGCAAAAAAATACATTAACAAATACATGTTGTTAAACTGTATTATATTTTTATTGCAGTTTTGCATTAAAAATGTATTTTTAATTTTTAAAATTTTTAATACAAAAAATGTATGTTGTTAAACTGTATTATCATGAAGAATTAAAGTGAATATCATTGTAAAAAAATCGTGGCATGTTACTATATTTTTAATGCACATGTGTATTTTTTAATTTTTTGTTAATACAAAAAAATACATTAACAAATACATGTTGTTAAACTGTATTATATTTTTAATGCAGTTTTGCATTAAAAATCTATTTTAAATTTTTAATGCAAAAAATACATGTTGTTAAATTGTATTGTCATGAGGAATTAAAGTGAATATCATTGTAAAAAAATCGCGTCATGTATGGCAATTATATTATCTTGCAATTTTCAATTTTATTATTAAGTTTTTAATGCAAAAAATCTATGTTCTTGATAATTGAGTTGTAGCCATGTTTGGCGCTTGCATTTTTTATTATATTATCTTGCATATTTGTAATTGAGATGTACGACTATTTGTGATCATTTCAATCGAGTTGGGATTGTGCCGACTATATCATTGTAAATTTTATTTGTGGCATTGTGAATGACTATATCATTGTAAATGTTTTTTGTGTCAAATATATGTTTAGTGGCATTATGGATAACTATATTAATGTAATTTTTTTTTTGATTCTAAGTGTGACTTATAAAGACTTTTTTTTACCTATAATGTTGCATAAATATTTTTTTTTTCTCAATAGGAACTAATTCATGTTTGTTAAAATGAAGATTTGTGACAAGTCCATATGTATTGGCATTGTGAATTACTATACCATATTGTAAATATATTTTTTATTTATACTATGTCAATGTAAATTTATTGTTCTATATGTAGTGGCTGATATAGGCTATTTTTATTTGTAATGTTGCATAAATAAATTATTTTTCCCAGTAGGAATTAAAATATTTTTTCAATAGAAGTATTTTGCATTAACAACAAATATAACTTTATGAATTACCCCTACATATTATCACTACACGTGGTGATTATTTTTCATGTTGAACTGTCAGATTAATTTTTAACCTTTTACATTTTAAAGTTGAACCATGGCAAGATCTGCAAAAGACCCTGCATGACAACATGGGGTCAGACTTGATCCTAACAAAAAAGACAAAATTATTTGTAATTACTGCCAAAGAGTGATAAGTAGTGGGGTACATAGGTTCAAACAACACTTGGCAGGGGTTAAGGGAGATGTTTCTACGTGCAATAGTGTCCCTAATAATGTAAGAAAGTAGATGGCGGCATTTCTCAAGGCTACCAATAGTAAAAAAATTGTAAAGCAGAGGATGGATGGGGAGATAGCTAGTTTATATACGTCATCACCCGAGAATGATTCAAAAGAGCAATATAATAATGACTTGGAGATGGCCACAAGAATGAGTTTATATGAAACATACCATAGGGAACGCGGGTTTAGAATGCCTGATGGTTATGACATGGGTATGCATAGTGGACCTAGCTCAGACATGCATGGCAGGCCCAGCTCGAGCATGTATGACGGGCCCAGCTCAAATATGTATGGAGGGGTTGGTGGCAATATGTATCAAGAGGAATCAGACATTGCAGAAATTGTTTCTAGCTTATCTAAGAGTACCAGTATTACAGGTCATGTTCGTATAGACCTATTTCTCTCAAAACCTAAGTCAGAACAGATGACCCTCAAAAGCATGGTGAAAGGTACGAGAAACATGTTGGACAGATATATAGGAAAATCGTTTTACAATAAAGGGATCCCTTTTGATGCAGCCAATAGCCCATATTTTCTACCTATGGTCAATGCAATCCAAAGAGCCAGGCCCTAGGTAAAACCCCCGACGGCATATGCGCTCAGTGGGCCAATATTGGATGAAAAGGTGGAAAAAGTTAGAAAGTGGATTGAAGAATATAAACAGAGTTAGCAAAGAACAGGCATTACTCTCATGAGTGATTGTTGGTTGAATAAAGTTAGCAAAAAGGAGTTTGTAAACTTTTTGGCCTATTCCCCAAAAGGTCCATCTTTTTTGTCTAGCAAAGACGTATCAGGGACGAAGAAGGATACAAACTTCTACGTACGACTATATGATCAGATAGTGGAGGAGGTGGGAGATAAACATGTAGTCCAATTTATTACGGACAATGCAAGTGCATGTGTTTCTGCAGGCAGCAAGTTGATGGATAAGAGGAAGCATCTAGTATGGACCCCATGTGCTGCACACAGCATCGATTTGATGTTAGTGGAGATCGATGAGATCAAAATTGTGAAGGAGACTCTACAAGAAGCGAGGTTAGTGTCAAGATTTATATATAACCATTCAAAAATTTTATTTTTGCTCAGAAAATAATCTTAAAAAAAAGAGATAATCAGGCCTGTCATTACCTGCTTTGCGACAGATTACTTGGCTGTGGACTCCATTCGAGAATCTGAAAGTGCAATAAAGAGATTGTTTACCAGTAAAGAGTGGTTAAATGACCGTCTCTCGAAGTCCAGTACCAGGCTAAAAGTGGATGACATAGTCTCAAATGGGAGGTTCTGGTCTCGATGCTCCAGTATCGTAGAGGCCACTGCCCCTTTGGTCACGGTGTTAAGAATGGTGGATGCTGACAAGAAAGCTACTATGGGCATCCTTTATTAAGGTATCGAGAGGGCCAAATCAGCTATTAGGGAGAAGTGT